GGTCCCTGTGTTTTGCTAAGCTTGTTCTAAGTAGGTGCTTTAGACCACTGAGCCATCTCACCAGCCTCTCAGATTATGTTTTCACTGTCTATAAGATTGAATTTGGGACTTTTTCTCTGGAATACATTCTGTACCTTTTAACATTTTTTAAAAATATTTATTTATTTTTATTCATTACATTTATTTATTGTGTGTGTGTGTGTGGCCAGCTCAGCCCACCAGGGGGCGGGTCTGGCTGGCATGTGGTGCTGGGGATCGAACCGTGGTCCCTGTGCTTTGCCAAGCTTGTTTCAAGTAGGCGCTTTAGACCACTGAGCCATCTCTCCAGCCCCCTTTTAACATTTTAATCTTTCTTTCTTTTCTTTTTTTTTAATAACCGGGGATTGAACTCAGGCCCTTGGGTCTGTTAGGGAAGCGCTTATTCCACTTAGCCATCTCCCCAGCCCACATTTTATTTATTTATTGGCAGAACCGGGGATTGAACTCAGGTCCTTGAGCTTGCCAGGAAAGCGCTTATTCTACTGAGCTATCTCCCCGGCCCCTCGGCCCACATTTAAAAAATTTGAGACCAGGTCTTCCTCTGTTGTCCAGGCTGTAGTAAAGTTGTGGTCTTCTTGCAGCCTCCTGGAGTGCTGAGATGACAGGCAACTGTGTGCCACCATGCCTGGCTACCAGACAGTGTCTTTTTTTCTTTTTTGAGGCAGTCAGAGTATGTAGTTCACACTGACCTTGAATTCAGTGGCATCCTTTGGCCACAGCCTCCCCAATGCCGGAATTACATGCATGGGCCACAACACCCAGCTGGTGGGGTTGCTTTTTTTCTTTTTTAATGTATTTGGTTGTTACAGGATCTCACTACGCAGCCTGGACTCCTGGCAATCCTCCTACTTTGAGCTGCCCCAGCGCTGAGATTACAGGCCTGCACTACCACACCCAGACTCTGGCTGGCTCAGCCTGCCCTGGGGGTGGGGCTGGTGTGGCATGTGGTGCCAGGATGAACCACGTCCCCAGGCTTGCCTAAGCTTGCCTAAGCTGGCGCTTTAGTCTGCTGAGCTCTCTTGCTGACAATGATGGGGTTTCTTAATCACCACTGTGAACCAGAATATCTGGCTTTTAGTTAATTAAATGACCTTTCAGTGAGGCGTGATGCTGCCCACTATTCAGCTCAGCCCCTTAGGACACTGAGGCAGGATTACTGCAAAAGCAGGACCAGGCAGGACAGGGGAGCAGCACCCAGATCAGCATAAGGTCACTGTGCTGGGGCTTCAGTCTAAAGTAACTGGTGTGACGTGTGAAAAGCCCTGAATTCAACCCAGAACTCAGACATAAAGGAAGAAGTAGTAAGCGCTCAGTGGAAAATGTACTTTGATTTGGAATTTCCTAGTTTGCACACTAGTGGCTGGTGCTACAGTGCTTGCTGAAATAGTTTTTGAAAGTAATGAGTATCTTTGGAAGGGGGAGGACTTGAGCCCAGGTCTCCCTATCCAGTTCCCACCACCCTCAAAGCCAGCAGTTGTCCTGCTTGAGCAGCCTGGGTCTTGGGATTAGAGGCATCTGCCACCATTCCAAGCAGTGTCCTCTTGATTTTAAAAGCATCTGTTGTGATTTCTCTTTTTTCACTTCTTGCTTACTTGTTTGGGTCCTCCCTCCTTCCCTCCATCCCCCCCTTTCTTTCTCTTTGTGTACTAGGAATTGAACTCAAGACCTCCTGCTTGCCAGGCAGGCACTATTATGCCTAGCTATATCCTTGGATCTTTTTTTTTTTTTCACTTCTAATACACGGACATGTCTTTTTTTTTCTTTTTTAATTTTATTTATTTGTGTGTGTGTGTGTGTGTGCGTGCGTGCGCGCGGCCAGCTCAGCCCACCAGGGGGTTGGGCTGGCTGGCATGTGGTGCTGGGGGATTGAACCGTGGTCCCTGTGCTTTGCTAAGCTTCTTCTAAGTAGGTGCTTTAGACCACTGAGCCATCTTACCAGCCCCCTTTTTCTTTGTAACTGTGGCTCAGGACTTGTCTATTTCATTTATTCTAAGATCTGCCTCTTTCAGTTGTGACGTTTGGGCTGAGGACGTAGCTTGTGGTCTAAGTCCCTCCTGTCTGACAAGTGCAAAGACCCAAGTTCAATCTCTGGTGTTCCTCATGCCTTGTTGGCCTGGAACCCTGGGTGCGCTGTAATTCTAGCGCTGGGGAGGCTGACATAGGAGGATCACTAGGAGTTCGAGCTGTGTAAAGAGACCCTGTATCCAGTACAAGTTAGCTAAAAAGAAAAAATTAAATACATTATGGTGTTTTATATTTTTTAATCCAAATTTCTTTGGTTTCTGCTTCAATCTTTATAATTTTCCTCCCTAAGTTTGCTTTTGGTCCGGACTGTTGCTCAAGTGTCTTAAGATTTGTCCTAAGGTTACCTATTTCAACTTGCTTTGTTTTTCTTTTTTCTTTTTTTTTTCTTTTAACATTTATTGTGTGTGTGTG